CCCCTGAACCCTAAACCCTAATTCAGGAACCTCGAGCCCGAAGCCTCTCCTGTGGCTGCAGGCCAGCTGCCCTCTTTGTACATTCCGGCATCATGGGTTTAGGGTTTAGGGTTTAGGGCTTAGGGTTTAGGGTTTAGGGCCTCTTTGTACATTCCGGCATCATCTGAGCTAAAGTCGAAACTCCTCATATAGGGGGGCTATATAGGGGACTTTTATAGGGGTTATTCAGGGGGATACTAGGAGCTTAGACTGTACCCTTTTATCCCCTGTATAATCTCAGTTTCCATTTCTTCTTCCATTTTCCGTTCCATTTGATTCTCCATTATTAAGGGGGGACAATGGCTTATATAACCCATTATAGTAGTTTTCATTTTCTTTTCCATTAATCCCCTATATAACCTTAAACCCTGAAGCCGAAACCGTAAACCTAGTTTAGGGTTCATCTCGCAATGCCAGGCTCTTCCCGGACAGAGTCCGAGGAAGAGGATGAAGATGCCTTGGAAGTGGAGAACATCCCGACCCGGCAGCTTTCGCGGAGGCCGGGTTTTAGGGTTTAGGGGTTTAGGGTTTAGGGGTTTAGGGTTTAAGGTTTAGGGTTTAGGGGTTGCTGTTGAGGAACTTGAAGTAAGTTATGCGAATATGGGAACCCCATGATTGTTACTAGTATATACCCATGTCATGGTAACTTAAACCTTATATACCCATATTCATCCCTTAGCCTCTTTTCCCATGTTATGGTGACTATAGGCCCTAGACCTATATACCCACATCATGGTTTAAGCCCTAAATCCTAAACTTTCACCATGGTCTAAGCCATAAGCCCTAAACTTTAGGTTCCCTGAATCCTAAACCCTAAACTTTAAGTTCCTTAACAGCAAAGCCAGTGGAGCCTGCTGCCTGCCGAGTGCTTTGTTGTGCAGCCAAGGTTCTCCTGGAGCGTCTGCACCTTAGACTTGCCTGTCCACTTCCTTACTGGTTGGTAGCAGGGAACTTTTGGAATATGTATATATATATACATACGTATATACAAAATATACATATCCTCTAGGTCATGGGGGGGGATGACCACATGTATATATATACATATCTATAGATATAGATATATACATATTTACACATAATACTGGGCTTAGGGCCTAGGGTTTAGGGTAGGTAACAAGGGGCAATACTATATAGGGATTCAATTTCTTTATTCCCTACTAACAGCCCGTAAGCTTCACACCTAAGCAGACCGAACACTTACTGGGAGACGTTACCCTTACACCCTAAACCCTAAACCCTAGTAATAGATCTGTCTATAGTCCCCCTTAAGTAGATAGAACGTGGGGTATATGAGGATCTTAGAATATACCCAAAGCCATATTCTAGCTACTTAAGGGGGACTATAAACCTAAACCCTAAACCCGAAAAGTTTCCATTATATTTTCCATTATCCCAATATAACCCCAATATATACCCTATAATCCCTATATAACCCCTATATGGGGGTTCTAGCTACTTAAGCGGGACTGTAAACCCTACTTAAAGGAGACTGGTCTCAGGAGTATCCGACCACACCGCTTTTTCTGGACGTTTCCGCAAACCTGCCGAAGGCCCAACTTGCCCGCACCAGCATTGCCATATGACCTATAATCTAAACTCCTTAAAGGGGGGATATAGGGGATTATATGGGGGACTACTATAGGGGTTATTAAAGGGGATACTAGGAGTTTAGACTATAGTTCACATGGGCTGTAGTTATTTAAGGGAGTATAGGGCTACGGGTTTACAGTAGGGTCTAAACTCCTTAAAGGGGGTTGTATAGGCAATTATATAGGGGAGTATTATGGGGGTTTTTAAGAGGGACACCATAAGTGCCCAGACTATAGTTCACATGGCCCAACTTGCCATGAGCCCTTCACCCGAAACCCTAAACCCTAAGCCCTTTGCAGCAGGCTTCTGGAACACAACCGCGTATCGGAATCGATATCGGCGGAGCTGGTGGCTGAGCCGTCAAGCAGCCAGAGGTGCTGCTTGGGGTTCTATTGGGGTTATATATCAAGCATGGCAAGCATGAAGCGAATATTTTTGCCGCGCGCAAATCAGAATTCAGAACAGCCTTGAGAAACAAGCGTTTGACGGTCAGTCTTCTGCATCCCCTTGCACGCATGGCGCAGTTGAAGCATCGGTCATCGCCTGAGGTGTTGACCAGAGAGGGTGACAAGACATACATGGGTTCCCTTGATGAGCCAGATGCTTAACGCAACTTGTGCTTGCAGACCATAGCAGTAAGTGCTTCTGAGCGAGCTGTGCCCAAAAAGGTGGGACACCACGTGGGAGGCCGATGGGGCGTTGGATGCTGTCTGATGCCAAGATATTTTTCTGTCTCATCTGGGCCACCACGCCGCCTTGCAGTCTCAAGGTCCGGAAGATCACTCAAGTTTTTGGACCTTCCAACACCTTCCTTGTCAGCAAAGTGCTGGCCTAGGAAGCTCCGGTTCTTGCCCAGATGAGCTTTGGTCCAAACTCCTAGTATCCCTTTTAATAAGCCTTATAATACTCCCTGATATAATCCCCTATATAACCCCCTTTAAGGAATTTAGACCTTAAACCCTGAACTCTATGCAATCCGCCTATGCAATCCCCTATATAATCCCCTATA